GCAGGGAGCCCGATGCAGGGCTCGATCCCAGGACCCTGGGATCATGACCTGAGCCGAAGGCAGACGCTTAACGACTGAGCCACCCAGGCGCCCAGATTTTATTTATTTATTGAGAGAGAGAGCGCAGGGGGGAGGGGGAGAGGGAGAGGGCGGGAGAGGCTTAAGCCGACTTTCTTGGAAACGAACCTTGTAACAACATTGGCAAATCTCTTATATTATCCAGTGTGGCTGGAGTGAATGGGCAGGGGCTGCACTCCCCGCTGAGCAAGGAGCCCCACAAGGGAGTCGATCCCATGACCCTGAGATCATGACCTGAGCTGAAACCAAGAGTCAGACGCTCAACCGACTGAGCGCCCCCAGGCGCCCCTTAGCCTTTTTTTTTTTTAAGCCAGATCATTTGTATGTCCGTGAACTCTGACGCAGTATATATAGCAGATGAAAATGGAGCTGCTGCTGTGTAAGGGGTGGACTTGGCCTCCCTCCCACCTGGAGAGCAGCCCTGAGCATGTCAGGAGGAAGCCACTTACCATACCATGAGTCTCCGGGGAGAGCTCCCCTTGATGGCTTTTGGGCTGTGTAGATACAGTTAAATTCCAAAAAGCGATATATGTGTATCTCAGAAGGTCGAACAAGATCTCATTCATATGGATACCATTTAATTTTAATCAGTTCATGAAAGTCATGAGTCACCACTGACTGAAAATATGAAATTTCTGGAGCCACAGACATGTAGCCACTGTCATCTGCCATCAAACAATTGCACATCTCTTGATCACCTGCATTCTGCAGGCAATATATATATATTTTTTAATTTGGACCACGTCTCCCAAAAATACTTGGTTGGTTTTAATTTTCTCAAAAGTTCACATTTCCCCTTAAATTAAAAAGCAAAACAAAGCAAAGAAACAAACAAAAAAACTCGGTCTGCTCAGTCCAAAAGCAAAAAAAAAAAAAAAAATTTTTTTTTCTTTGAAGTGTTTCTGATGATTACACAACAGGAGTTACTCCCTCTATCATTCAAGGTTCTACTTTCATTGGTTTATTATATCACTTTATTTTTCACTGGATATGTAGTTTGGAGGTTGTCAGAGACCCTCCAGTCATAAATATCTCACCTAATTAAAAAATGGAACCTCAAGCTCATGTTCTTGACTGGTGGCTTCCAAGGAGAGTCACGACATGGTGGCCTCATGAGACTTGACCATTTGATGACAAGTCCTTCGCAGCTCTGAGTTGCCAAGGGGGGCTTGAGGGCTTTCCATAGGTACCACCAGCATTTATCCGGCACCTAATGTGTTCTGACCCCAGCGTTTGACACAGGATATCACATTTAATCCAGTAACACTACTGTGAAGATACTTTGCTCATATGAGGAAATAAGTATTGGAAAGGTTAAGTAACTCACCTGAAGCCTGGCTTCAAATCCAAGTTATCCTGGCTGTAGTTCTTGTCCTTGTTCTGCTAGGTAGACTTTCGTGTCCTCTAAACATCTGGAATTCTAGAATGTTCTAGAGCAGTTTGCTATTACACCTAGCAGAGCCTGGTTTGGAACCATTGGACAATAGTTATAACATCACATATTTGTGTAAGAGACAACTTTTTGCTGAAGCTGGAGGTGCTGCTGACATGTGTTACAATTATTTCAAAACAGTTAATCATCTGAGTAATGCTTCTGGATTGCACTGAACATCATTCAGTACAAATTCTGGTCTCAGAAGCCTTTTGCTGTTATATATTCTTTAGAGCAGTAGCAAAGAGCACAGTATATTTATATGTTATATGTGTGACGTTTTGTAATAGGAACCTGTTCCTTGACATTGTTGCTTTAAGATTATTTTGGTGGAAAGCTGAAAACATGTTTCTTAATTGTGTTTGTATTTCTCTAGGCATGGTCCTTCCTGGTATGTATTTCAACTTTCCAAGTAGTTAAATTATTACAATTAGATAGTTACATTAATTAGAAATGGTTAAGAACATAATTAAAAAAATCCAAATGATCCAGTTGGAATTAACAGTTCATGATCCAATCAGTTATAATAGAATAATAATGCTACATTCTTCTGTTGATCACAGTCCAAATAACAGGAAATTTCTGGATCAGATGCAGCTGTTGTTTATAATGTCCTATTTGGCTGACAAAAGTAAACTTGTTTCTAAATTATTGTTGTACATTTTGTCCCTGAGATTTAAAAAAATTGTGATCCTTTCCGCTAATTACTTCTACTGGTCCTCATTTAGTTCACGAATCTAGAATTTTTTTCTACTGCATTTATGAAACATTTTTAATCAAGGGATAAATCGATTTTAGATGCAATTTAAATGGATGCACCTGGTTGGATTGTGCATGATTGTATTTTGTGGTGTGATTATGCATGAATTTAATTTCAGGCTATGGTGATTTGATAGTTATAGAACTGAGAATAAATATACACGTTGTTATGACTGTAAACTTCTGCATTCTACCAGAATGGAAAGGTAAAACTGAAGCTATCATTTATCTTTGGTGTTGTTTTCATCATTGTTGTTTTCCCTTTAAAAAGCCTAGTTAAGCTCAAAGCCATGATGAGATACCACCTCACACATGTCAGAATGGCTAAAATCAACACCCCAAGAAACGACGGGTGTTGGCGAGGGTGTAGAGAAAGGGGAGCCCTCGTGCACTGTTGGTGGGAATGCAAACTGGTGCAACCACTTTGGAACAGTATGGAGGTTCCTCAAAAAGTTAAAAATAGAACTACCCTATGATCCAGCAATTGCACTATTAGGTATTTACCCAAAGAATACAAAAATACGGATTCAAAGGGGCACATGCACCCCGATGTTTCAAGCGGCATTATCTGCAATAGCCAAAGTATGGAAACAGCCCAAGTGTCCAATGACTGATGAACGGCTAAAGAAGATGTGGTGTATACCACATCATATATAATGGAATATTACTCAGCCATAAAAAAGAATGAGATCTTGCCATTTGCAATGACGTGCATGGATCTAGAGAGTATAACGCTAATTGAAAGAAGTCAAAGATAAGACAATTACCATAGGATTTCACTCAAATGTGGAATTTAAGCAACAAAACAGATGAACACGGGGGGAAAAAAAGAGGCAAACCATAAGAGACTCTTAATGATAGAGAACAAACTGAGGCTTGCTGGAGGGAGGTGGGTGGGGGATGGGCATTAAGGGGGGCACTTGTTATGATGGGCACGGGGTGTTGTATGTAAGTGATGAATCACTGAATTCTAGTCCTGCAACTAAAAAAAAAAAAGCCTAGTTAAGCAATAGTGATTTCATTTTTGCTTAGGAAGAGTCCTATGCAAAAGTTGTGTGTTAGACTAACCGTGGACTCAGCACACAACGCTCTTTTGCAAAGTGAGGCAGCCCGCTGTAAGAGAGATCTCCCCAGAGCTGTGGCACACAGTGGGAAAGGCTGAAAGCCCAAGTTGGTGCTGAAAGCCATGGAGGATGCCTCAGCAGAACGTGACACTGTCGGATGAGTTCCCATAGTGGAAGAGTTGAGGGAGGTGCTAGGCCAAGCTGCTCATCCTGTGTGGAGTTGTAGCTCCAGGTAGATGCGGTCGGTTGGCATCATTACTCAGTGGAACTCGTCTTCCTCCCCACTGCCCCCCCCCCAGATTGGCTCTCGACCACCCATCAGGAAGGGCTCTTTCCCCAAGGCAGGGTTTCCCTCAAGGCCAAGAGGAACATGGGTGCAAGGCTACCTCAGGCAGGAAACTAGTGGACCAAAGGAGGCAACTGCCACAGGAAAATGGTGTTGGTTTGCGTTTTGGTTTACTTGATTTTGGTCGGGTCACTGTGAGCAGTGTGGTCAGTAACCCACAGAACACATGGTTTCTAGTCAGATCATCAGCACCCTTGAAGGCGTTCCACTTGGCTAGCCTAGACTGCGGGGTGGGTTTCATGATCTTGGATGACACACCTCCAATGATAAAGGGCTGTACGGTACCACCCCCAGCAACCCAGGGAGGTACGGATTATTCATTATCCCATCTCTCAAGTGGGGAAACTGAGCCCAGAGGTGAACTGAGCCCACAGAATGCCTGAGCTTTGAAACAAAGGAGTCACTTGAATGTCAAAATCCATGACTTCCTGTGCAGATAGCTTACTTGTGGTTTACGAGGGCTACCCGGGGCACTGGCGGTGGGGCGGGGTGGGGGTGGGGTCAGAGGATTTTGACAGACAGGATTTCTTTGTCCCCTGCAGTTGCTATCTCTATCCTGTGACATTCTTTACACTCTAGTAACTTTGGAGAGTATGTAGAAGTTGCAAAGTGATATGCCCGGAGATGGGTTTCACAGCTGACTCCGATCTCAGATCTTTAACCCCATCAGAGGCATTCCAAATGTTGGATTTTGAAGGTTAGGTTTAAAAGACTTCATTAATTTGTGGGACATTTCCTCAAATCCATAAATAACCGCATTTGTTTCCTATGGAGTTGACTGTTTTCCTTATTCACGTGCTCTGGTTCCTTTCTGAGTCTTGACCTTGGGAATCCCCCCAGATCTCCCTAATCTTGTTCAGTGTTGTCCACTGACGGCGTGCCCCGTTTTCTCATGTGTGACTATAGTAGAGAGACGGACATAGTTGGTGGATGTCAGGCGCCCCCACAGAAGGGGGGGACACAGCTGGCTCATTTCTTTTACATTATCTGGCCTCATTAAGAAATTACATGTTTCCAGAAAGCCCAACTGTAATCTTTGAAGCCCCAAACTGAAAAATAACTACATCTTTTAACCATTTTCTCTAGAAAACATTTAAAAAATGTCCTTCTAAGAAACCCCAAATAACTTCATATTCACTTCTAAAAATGTGTTAAACACAAGCTTTACAAAGTGACATCATCGTCACTAGTTATTGCCAGTTATTGAGCTGAGCTCTAACGTAATGGTGCCCTGAGGGGTTGTTGGCCCCACACAGGAGGAGCCCCCCATGACTTTACTTTTGATTTCTTTATTAGTCGGGGTTCTCCAGAGAAACAGAGGGAGAGATTGATTTTAAGGAATTGGCTCACACAGTTGCAGAGCCTTGGCAAGTCCAAGATCCACAGGGTAGACTGGCAGGCCAGAGACCCAGGGAAGACTTGTAGCTCAAGTTCAAAGTCTGTGAGCGGAGCTCCCTCTTCTTCCTGGAAAGTCGGTCTTCTGTTGAGTCCTTCAACTGAGTCTATGAGGCCTATCACCTTATGGAGGACACTCTCTACCCCAAGTCTACTGTCTTAAATGTTCATCTCATCTTAAAAATACCTTCAGAGAAACCTCTAGAACAACGTTTGACTGAATATCTGGGCACTGCAGCCTGGCCAAGTAGACACATAAAATGAGCCCTCACAGTTTCTAGGTCAGCTTTTAAGTAATTCTCTTGCCTCTTCCTTTGAGATCAAGCTGGTCCTAGGCATGTGTTGTAGCTGAAGATGGGATGAGAAATTCTCTGAACAGCGCATCCCATACCCTCCAGTTTGTTGTTTTGTATCCTGAGAAACCAGAATGCCAGTTTACTTAAATTCCCTTTAAAGTAAGACACTTAGCGTAAAGGGGAGAGGAGCTCACTCTCCAAAGTGCATGAGCTCTATAAATCCACTTTCTATGGTTTACCTCGTCCGTGTTTTTTGACTGATGGTTCTCAACTGCAGTTGAGCTAGCAAGGGCTGTGATCCCAGAGAAGTCTTTTCAATACCATTTAAAGGTGATGCCATGCCCAGACCACAGGAAACAGACATCAAGAGGACTCCTTCTTTGGGGTCCTACCCCTTAATGTTAATTGTCTGATTTTTTTTTTTTTAAAGATTTTATTTATTTATTTGAGAGCGAGCGAGAGAGAAACAGCATGAGAGGGGAGAGGGTCAGAGGGAGAAGCAGGCTCCC